GAATGCATACACATTAATGATTTTGATAAAATAGCAGTACATAGCCCTTAGATAGCCCTCTTAAACTCCTATTAGAACATTCATCTCAGACACATTTTATACTTCTCATTCAATTTTGTTTGTTTTGTTGTCCTTTCTATTATTTTAAGTAATAATAATTTTACTTACTTTACACAGTGCTCGAGAAAGAAAACTATCAGTCCAAAATCCGCAATAGATGCTCGTCAATTGGTGAACTATAAAATAGGCACATGCAAGATAATAATAAAAGGTTTTTGTGATAATTAATCTCTAGACTAGATCCTAGGTCACTTGCCTCACTGGACCACTTCACATCAAGCTTTTGGCTTGAATTATACTGACTTGAGATTTTAGGAAAAGAGATGTCGACAAGCGAAGTTCTTGGTTCAACAATTGAAGTCCCTCGCCATTATATGAATTAGGGTCTCGTTTCTAATCTTCAATAGTGCATCAAGGTCCATCGGGATGTAACTGAATTGAAGCACAATAACTATCAAAGAAGTGCTAAAACCATGAGCAAGCAATAATTCAATGAGCATCATAGCTGAGATAGAGAGCTCTTTCAAGATCAAGAATTTCAGAAAAGAGATTAGGGATCTACTATCTTATAAGACAAACCTTCATATGGAACACAATAGGAGGACTTGGACAATTAACAAAGAATAAAAACCCTCTCAGATTAAACAACAAGCTACGCTGGATGTCAATGCTTCATTGACTCAAGTTATTGAGTTACAAACTTAAGAGACTGAGCACTAGTCCCTTGCTACTATTAAATCACAGCATTGAGACTCATAAACTCGCTCGCCTGATGTACATTTACAACTTGTACTGGTCTTTTTCAGTTTGATAAAATTTTGGAAGTTATATTTGTTTATGAGTATTTACGATATTGTCTGTCTTCTTCTTCGATTAACATTTGGCATAAAAATGTTATAGTCACCACATAACATAAGCATCTCATCCTTGTTGTGAAATGACCTTACCCCACAAGAATCGAACATAAGTATCAGAGCTATCCCACCACCTCCACCTCTTCTATTATTCTCCCTCTTCTTCATCAACGTTAAAAATGAGAGCATCTTTACCTCATTGGAAATTGACCTAATTATAGAACGAGAAAAAAAAATTGTGAATGAGGATATTTTGGCCATAAAAAAAAAAATCAATTTCAATCAAAGTTAAAAAAAATGTTACATTGGTTAAATTGATGGAATATCCATCAACAAAAATAGAACTCTGTTAAGTTTGAAAATCAAGCTAGGGGACCATAACGAAATCTCAAAATAACCTAGGGATTAAAATGAAAGATTTTTAAGGTCATGAAACTAGATGAAGTGTGGTCCAAATTTCAGGAACTTAATCATATTTGCCCTTAATTTATTGGCATATTTTTTAGGGCATAATTTACCCTCATTATACATGTCTAAATCACCTAACGCTATGTTCCACTTCATAATATTCTATCAAAAAACAATTAACAAACTCCAGTCTAAAATTTCATTTCAGTTTATAGGATATTAAATTATCACAAATTATTCCAAAAATTCCCAGTATATATATTAAGAGAATATTCTTGGAGAATTACAAAGCCTTTACTCTCCATATCAGATCAATTAGCTAGATTTGATGACTGATCAACAATTTGGATGAATCACAATTGAAAACTAGAGTTCAACTCAATAAAGTGGTCATATTAAAGGACAAACAGTGAAAGATAAGTTGAGCAAAACTATGCATAGATACTCCTTCAACTATATTGAAAGAAAGAAAAAAAATAAAAAATAAAAAAACAATAATGGCTATTGATGAGTTCCCAAAAGTACCATAGACTTGGCAAAAACAGACAACCAACTACAGTCTACATATCAAAACGCATGCATGAACCTCAGGCAAACCGACCAAAGCCCTCATAGATCTTAAAATCACTTAAATATGACACTATATGCAAATTTTCAAATTATTTAAATAACAAATTCTATTTCAACATTTCAAGTTTGTCCTTGAGGATAAAGAATCCTGAAGATAATCTGCCCATTTTGCATGATGAGAATTCAATTTTTTTTAGGTATTAATCAACTTTTGAGCTTGAAGATCCCTATTTAAAATGAACTCCTTATGCAATAAATAATAACTCCAGTATTTGCAAGTTTGAATAATAGCATAGAACTATTGATCATAAGTAGAATTGCACTTTCTATGGTCATTTAACTTTTCACTAAAGAATACTATTTGATGATTCTCCTAACTTAATACTCCACCTAGTCCTATACCTGAGGCATCAAATGTCACCCCAAATATTTTGTTGAAATCAGGGAGTCTTAAGATAGGTGCAGAGGACATTAGAATTTTAAACTGCTCCAAACATTCTTTGCTTCTAAAGTCCAAATGAATTTATTCCTTTTCAAAAAATTTATAATTTGAGCTACCACTGAACTAAAATTCTTAATGAATCATTGATAAAATGTAGCTAAACCATGGAAATTATAAACATTGTAAAACTTTTGAGTATGCGGAATCTAAAATAGAATGCTTTTAGTCCTTCAACAGATATAACAAACCCTAAAATATCACCTCGGGCCTACAAAAGAAGCATTTCTTGAGATTGACATACAATTGTGCTTCTCTAAGTTTGCCAAAGACTAACCCTACTGGTTCAAATGTAATTCCTCGTCATTAAAGTAGATAACGAGGAAATGTCCAATAAAAGATTTCAGAAAATTGTTCATCAACCTCATGAACTTGCTGGGGTGTAGAAAGAGATTGACATACAATTGTGATTCTCTAAGTTTGCCAAAGACTAACCCTAGCTGGTTCAAATGTAATTCCTCATCATTAAAGTAGATAACGAGGAAATGTCCAATAAAAGATTTCAGAAAATTGTTCATCAACCTCATGAACTTGCTGGGGTGTAGAAAAGATCAAAGGGTATGACCATCCACACATAAAAACAATCAGGGGTTCTAAATATAGTTTTTCAGTCATCCCCTAGTCTAATCATGATCTAATGGTATCCTCTCTTAAGATCATTCTTATAGAGAAAATATAGGATCCAACAACAAGATCAAGCATATCATCAAGCCGAGGGATGGAAAATCTATACTTAATGATGACCTTATTTACAGCTCAACTATAGATGCACATTCTCCAAGTGTCATCTTTTGTAGGAGTTAATAAGGTAGAAATTGAACAAGGTGTAAGACTTTCTTATAAAAATCCTTTCTTTAATAGCTCATCCACTTTCCTCTTAAGCTCAACATGTTCAATAGGGCTCATTCAATAATGAGGTAAATTTAGCAATTGAGAACCTGGTATGATATCAATTGCATGCTTAATATCCCTTAAAGGAGGCAAACCATCAAATAAATCATCAGGACATAAGACACTAAATATAGAAAGAAGTGAAAATACCAGAGTCATCTAGGTCTGGAGGAACTTCTTTCCTATGGAATAGATGAAATGAAGTGAGCTCTAAGAATTCTTTCAATAAAGTGTTAAATCCCACCCTCTCTATGTGAAAATTTTTATTTGAGGTTAAAAGTAGAGAACTCTCTCCATATAATTCAGAAGCATTTTCTTTAGTAGTCGAAGAAGAAATCCTAATTAAATTAATTTTTGCTTGCTTCTTCTAACTTGGTTTAGGCTGCAATTTTGAATTAGATTCTAAAATTTTTTTCAACAATAACCACCTCCTCATTCACAAATAAAGTCTTAACTACAACATATATGGACAGGCTAGCCACTCAAATTGGTAATAACCCATCACTACTCTTTCGATTCCCTTGGCTGTCCGCTCCTTGTTGACAAAGTCAACAAAGCAAACTCCACACTCACTTGGCTGACTATCACACTCACACTCACACATGGTCACATGAGTGCACTCAAGTCCATACTAGTGCACTCTAAATCAACTACTATACAAATACTATGAAACTGTCCAATGCATAAAAATATCATGGATTTCCAGAGTCTTCTTTTCCAATATGGCCTTCTGGTTTGCATCCTCGTAATGGGTCCACTAATTAGTATAGGTGATACACCACATTTGACGCATTGTGCATGGTTTAGCAACAAAGTTTGGCTGGAAATGGAGTTTCCTGATGTTATCAAGTGGAAAGTGAATTGCTTGTGATGAAATGAGGAAACTTTGTTTGAAGTTCTGTTAGATATATCTTAATGTTCAATAATCCTTCTCCCTAGAATAAAAGAATCAGTTTTACAGTGGTTGGTGTAACCATTGGGAGAAAAATCCACTTTCGTGAAAATTCAAAAATATCTTTCTTGGCACCGAATTTATGGTAGTTTTCCAGAAAAGCTTTGTTATGGAATTTAACTTATGTATCTTACCAATTAATTAATTAATTGTTGTATTTTATTGAATAATTAACATTAAGATATAATGTTATAATTATATGAAATTCATAATATATCTACTCGTGTAGCACTAAAGTTTTTAATCAAACAACCACAACTCTTAAAAAATTTTAGACATCAACTTTAACAAGATTTCACCAAACAATCATATGCTTTGCTTGATAGCATAGCATAGCACCGTTATTACAATGCCCGTAAAACAGCAATGTCAAACAGAAACATAGTCACTTAAAGGATGTGAGTTACAGTAGGTCACCACCAAGTGACTAATAGAGTAGCTGATTAGCTTGTTGGCATGCTTCACGTGGTTTTACCTTTGTCTACAGCAATGGAGGTCTTAATTGAGGCTTCTTTTGTATGGTTGAATTAATGCTCTGCGTAAGTTAAGCTTATTTTCTGATGAAAATGTGTATGTTTAAAATAGTGGTTTTTCTAATATTGCATACATAAATCAAAATAAACATGGAAAACAATTAAGCAGGAGCCTAACAAACCACTTTAGCACGAAACCACTGTAGAAATAGCATAAAGCGTGATTACTGCCCTAAATCCCAACAAAGCTATTAACTCATAGTGTTATAAGGAAGGAAGCTCCAGATTTATACCATAATTTCGGGATCGTCGGGCAAATCTTCTTCAATGCAAATCCTAACAACAAGCTCCGGTTGCCTTTCTTTCCTTAATTTCTTCCTCGCCGCCGGCCTCCGCCTCCACCTCCCCCTCCTAAAACCTCGAACATTCTCTCCAACACCCCTGGGTGGAATCGGAGGCCGCAAAGTCGGTTTTGATATGTAATAGCTCCTTCTCGGCCAAGAAACGGAGAAAAGCGGCATAACAGTCGGAGAAGATAAGAGCAAGGAAAGATTATCTACCGACGCCGTTGGCCGCTGCCGCAGAGCGGCAGCAACTAAAGGACCAAACGAAAGAGAGGGCCTACTAGAGGTGAGCGGGAGAGCTCGCGCGAAGAAAATCGCCATTGGTTTGCAGATGCAGAGATTATTACGGGGGAGTCCGGTCACAAAACCGTTCGCCCTTCTAGAAGCTCCGGGGTGACAAGTAAAAGTGCCTTTCCCCAATGGTTCTCCGTATCAGGATAATCCGCAAGTAATAATCTCTCATTGGTTTGATTGAGGGAAGAGAAACGGAAGAGAATTGAAACAATGGGTGCGATGAAGAGGAATCAACAACAAAGCAAAAATCTGTTGGGTGCAGTTCTCGCCAAATTATTTGGTGGGAGTTCCAATTAAAATTTAGCAAGTGGAGGCGTAAGTAGATGTTCCAATAGATATTGTTTGTTATTTATGTTTTCTCAGCGGCTGATTTTTAAGTCTTGTCATTACCTCCCACCCGACCCGTACCGATCCAAAAAATTTGAATTAGAAGCACGAGTTCAAAAAACTTGAAAGCTAGGTCATTTTATTTTTTACCGAGCATTTTTCGCTATGTTTTCTCTCTCTTATTCGGTCCAAACATTGTTCTTCCAATCCTTCAGCATTCCAGGAGTTCGTATTCCAGCCGTTGCAAAAGTTCGTCTCCTTCACAAACAGGTACTAATTGATGTGTCATTGATGCGCTTTCATGGTATCAGTTATATATATTACTTTTCTCCAAAAAATCAGTTCTTATGTCAATTCATAAATTTTCAAAACTAGGTTGCGTAGCTTAAAAAATCTCAAGTTTTTAAAACTAGGTATATTGTTTAATAGAGTTGGATTGCTCTTTCCTTTTACATGTGCTACTGCATAGTTATTGTTATACCAAAAGTACAATGAAAGCGTCTTGTCATTACATCCCACCCAACCCGTACCGATCCAAAAAATTTGAATTAGAAGCAGGAGTTCAAAAAACTTGAAAGCTAGGTCATTTTACTTTTTATCGAGCATTTTTCGCTACGTTTTCTCTCTCTCATTCGGTCCAAACGTTGTTCTTCCAATCCTTCGGCATTCCAGGAGTTTGTATTTTAGCCGTTGCAAAAGTTCATCTCCTTCACAAACATGTACTAATTGATGTGTCATTGATGCGCTTTCATGGTATCAGTTATATATATTACTTTTCTCCAAAAAATCAGTTCTTATATCAATTTCATAAATTTTCAAAACTAGGTTGCGTAGCTTTAAAAAATATCAAGTTTTTAAAACTAGGTATATTGTTTAATAGAGTTGGATTGCTCTTTCCTTTTACATGTGCTACTGCATAGTTATTGTTATACCAAAAGTACAATGAAAGAGAAATAGCAAAATGCACAATGAACTGTGAATTAACTGGTGCCAAAGCACAGTTAAATCGCAATTAAATTTAGTTAGATCGCAGCTAAAGTGAAGTGAAATAATCGAACAAAAAATTAACTGTGCTTTAACTACGCATGACTGCGCCCTGACTGCATTTTGGTGGCACTTTTATTGCACTTTTTCAGCGCTCTCTATGTGCTTTTACTACGCTTTTGTTGTGTTTTTATCGCGCTTTCCTTTTCTTTACTTTTACTTAGTTTTTTTCTTAAATTTTTGCAAATGTTCGCCCACTTACATATCATTTCTACGTCTCAACCTTTCGAAATATTTGCTACTCATTCAACGATATAATTCACAAAGATGTTATGGACATATTGAGGACTTTGAACATCCATCAATTTTTGAAGTTCCCACCACTCAGCAAAATGTACCTTTAATTGTTATACGAGCTGCTAAAATTCTAGGATATCTCTAAACAATGCTTCATTATGCAAGGTCATTTAATGAGATTCACATCTGATGAGGTTGCTATGTTCACAGGTTTGATTTCAAAAAAGAAATTTTCTGCATGCTTGAATTTCTCTTTTTACTTCCTTCAATTAATTTAACAAAAATTGCTCGCTGGTTTGCCCAACAGAGGTGCAAAGGTCGTATGGCAGAGCGAGCCACTTACAGGAGTTTTATCAACTGATACAAAAGGTGAAATGACATAACTAAATAGATCAACTAACCAAGAAACTATATTAAAGACTTTTATAATGTTTTTGTTTTCAAATATATTTTTTCTCCTCAATAACCTAAAAACTTCAAGAAGGCTCATGTCTATAGCAAGTAATATAGATGAGTTCTCACCTATTAATTGGGTTGGAAGTATTATGGAATTTTTTGTTCATGAACTTAATAAAATTGCCACCAAGTTTTCTAAGGAGAAGTTACTTGGTTACATAAATGATTTTGTACCTCTCTTATTGGTGAGTCCTAAGTTCATTTAAGTCTAATTATGTTTATAAATTATTTTTACAATTTATTACCTAATATTACTTTACATGGTCTTTAACATATATGGTTCATGGAGTACTTCTCCCTAAACATCCTTAAGTATCTAGATTTAAGTCCATGTTTTCTTAGATGGGGGAGAAATATAGATATTTTCTATTATGTAGAGAAGGCTAAAGATTTTATTTGCTAACTTGAAGGAAAAGTAGGTACATTTTGAGATTTGTACTGGAGTAATTTTTCATTAAAATTTTGCCTTACACAATAGCTAAAGTGTAGTGAAAGCATCGTAAAAAGTGCAGTCAAAATGTTGCACTTTCACTATGCTTTTAACTACACTTTTGTTCTTGTAAGAACTGATATTAGATTTGCTAGCTTTAGTATAATTTTTGTGCAGATCTTCCATTTCGTTCAGGGTGTTACTCAAGAGGAAGCATAAAATATGAATGCTGACATAACTGCTATTGATAACCTCCAAATTCAAACTTCTCATCAAAGTCCTCACCAACACCAAAAGTATTTTCCACCCATACCCTTCATTCTCCCCTACAAGACCACCCACATCCTATCGATCAAGACCCCCCTCTAGCTCAAGGTGAGATTAGGCTAGTGTTCAAAAGAAATTATTTGGTTCCCTTAAAAATAGTTGCAATACAATTGAAGAGAATTTACACCATGCTTGATCGACTTGAAGCAAAGGTTGTTCTCTTGAATACAAGCTCATCCATCATATAGCCCAATCTAAATATGATTAAAAAAAAAAAAAAACTCATGCATTTTCCTCATCCTCATCTTACCTATCTGTAAGGAAACCCCCACATCTGTTTGTCCAGCCCACCCATCTGTACATAAAGCCCCTCCTAATTATATAGAAACCCCGCATAACACCCCTATAGCTGCCCCCCTAAGCCTCCAATCTGAACATAAATCCACCCAACTATAAAGAAACCCCTCATATTAGCCCCCCCCCCCCCCCCCCCCTGGCCCCCCCCCCCCCGAGCTTCTGATATAATTTTGTTCATTCATTTAAAATTGTTACTCGACTTGCAAAAAACACAATGGAAATTCCAAGGAGAGATTTCCTAAGTATATATAAGAAAAAATTTATGGATGATTGTTTTAAAAAGTATAATGACTAATAAGATTCATTAAATTTAAATCATTTACTTAAATTCTAGTTAATAACATTTTTAAGATTTAAAAGCATGGAAAAAGAGAAACTAAAGCACATCAAAAGCATAGTAAAAGAGAGCTTAAAGCACAATAAAAATACAGCAAAAACATAAATAAAGTGTAATTAATGTATAGTTCTATCATTGAAGTGTACTTTAATTGCACTTTGATTTTGCTTTAGCAATGTTATTGATATGCTTTCACTACACTTTACATGCATTTATTTTTATGCGCTAAGTTTTTTTTTTTTTTTTGTACGAGTGACATTATTTTTTATTCTGGTAGCATTGTGATATTAAGAGCTAATCTTGATGACCTAGTTAATAATAAATATGTAAATAACAACAATGTAGATACATTTGTTTTGTTGTCATATAAAAAGAATAAGCTTATTAGTGACTTGTATTAACCCTTCATATACATCTCTCAAATACACAGGGTTAGTATTAATGTAAAATATAATCTCTATATATTATTGTTTTCTAAGATTTTAGTAATTTGCTTGTTGACTTTTTGTAGGTATATAAGGAATACAATCACTCTTCCCAGTTATCCATCCAACATATAATCAAGGTTTGATGAAGGAAATCAATCTTCTAATTCAGCCCATCATCCATAATAAGCACTGGACCATTCTTGTAGGCAGGCTGAAAGGGAAACTTTGACAATTTTATGATTCCTTACCAATCCTAAACACAAGTAAATTCTTCCAACAGTCATAAGTTAGATCATTATAGTATTTTAATTCATTTCTCAATACTGCTAGTGAAGTAATATTTATTCTTTATTTTGTTTAGATTAAAAATATGCATGAGGACATGAAAGGATCCTTTGAATCAAATATAACAAAATGGAATATACAAAGTGTCCGTGGACTTCCAAGCCAGATGAATAGTGTTAATTGCGGAATGTTTATATGTAAAATATATGAAAAAGTTATTCTTCAAAGGAAAGTTGATTGAACATAATATAAAAATTGGCAAGATGAAATGCCAAAATTTAGAGCTGAATTTGCATACTCATTCAATGAAGAAATAAATTATAAACTTTGCATCAACATGTAATTCTTTGAATATTTCTATACATTTTGTACTCTTTAATTATATTAAATCAATTATTCAATTTATTATGTATTCATTGAATAATTCTTTATTATATTCTCTCAACTTGCAAATATGCAGTGAAAATGCATAAAATGCACACCAAAAGCACAACTAAAGTGTAGTGCATTTAGGGGTGTAAGCGAGTCGAGTCGAGTTGAGTATCTGCCTTATCAAGCCTGGCTCGTTTAACACTCAATTGGCTCGAGCTCGAGCTCGATTAGTAAACTCGAGCTCGGCTCGTTTAGAAAAAGTCAAGCTCGAGCTCGACTCGAAAGCTCGAGCTCATTTGAAAAGCTCGAGCTCGAGCTCGTTTGATTGGCTTGATTCATCAATTAAAATTTTTTTTGGAAATTTTTTCTAACACTTATTTTTTTTTAATTATGAAAAATAACTTAACTAATTATAAAATGTCCACAACTTTAACTTTTAATTTCTTTTAAAAAAATTTAATTGTAGAAGAAATCAATATATAATGAGCAGTCATCTTTCTTTAAAAATTTTTATTTAAAAAAATGATCAATATCAAGTGCAATTTTTATGTAATTAAATACAATTAAAACTTGATAAATATGAAAAGAGCATTCATCTCAAAGTTAGACCAAATTCCATATCATCACATCATTACAAAAAAGTAATTAGAATTATACAACCCATTAAGCTCGATCCTAGCACAACATTATTACATTAAAATTGTCTTGTTCTCGTTATCTAACCAAACTTTTTCTTCTTGCTCATCATTTGAACAGTTTGCAACTTTC